AAATTAAACATATGTCTGTTGTCGTTCTGGTGTTTCGACTGGCTAATATATCAATAGAAAAACCGCATACAGCCGAGATAAGTGAGTGTGTTTTCTGCCTTCGCTGATTTGAAGTTTTGTTTTGATACAACAGAAAATGAAAGCTGCCATTTTTACAGAAGCTACCGAGGCGTTTGGAAGAAAGAAAGAAAGAGACAGAAGTGGGAGGGGGAAACAATTTTTATTGCGAGAGACAGCCGCCATATTGCTACGGGAGCCATGTTGTTCACATGGCAGCCATTTGCAATTCTTTCAAAGATAGCGCCGATTCGTTCAAGGTAGAATCTTCTCTGCTTTAATACATCGATTTAAGACTAACACAATGTGAAATATATCATATGACTATTAAGGGAAAATTCAAATTTTTCTATTATTAATTATTTTTTTTATTCTATCAGTCATTGATTAAATCAGCTATGGGTATACTTTTTCGAACAGTGGGCAGCATGAGACATAGTTAAACATAGCGCGGGCCGCACCACTAAAAATTCAAACTGATTTTTTATGGTACCACAGCCATTTCCACAACAGAAGATCATACGCTTAATCATCTGCTTTAAAAATGGGAAAATTCGATTTTTTTTTCTGGAAAAAGATTATTTCTATTATAATTAAAAAAAACAAACAAACTGAAGTCTTGGTATAATATTATCCCTGATGACAAGTTTGATTAACACACGCTGTTGCGTTTGAATTAATTTTCAATTTATTCATTTGAGTATACAAATATATTCTTGTTTTTAAGTATATGTCTTCTTTCTACAGCAAATAAAGTTTACACCTATGATCTTCCTTAATGAAAATCGCTAATGGTTTTTAATGATGAAAAAATTATTATCGACATAATGTCACTGTTGGTTGATTTTGTTTATTGGTATATCAACCTCTATAAGTTATTTAATGCCGAAATCTAAATATATTGACTGATATTGTATGCCTTCAACTACAGATAAAATGTATTGTTGGTCATTTTACTATAAATATCAGCCGTTGGTCATTTATTTTATATAAAAATATATTGCTGGTATTTTTACTATAAAAATGTATTTTTATACTTTCATAGAATTTTGTGTTTGTTTGTGGGGGGTCATTATTTGTCCATAGCTTGGACCCTAACAGGTGCTACCATCCCGTGTCTGGGTGGACTTGCGAACAACAGCAATTACGAGGTGGTTCCACGCTCCTCAAAATTTCCTATCTCCCAACCAGAGGCCTTGCTGCCGGTTGTAGTTTATCGTCATGCCCAAGACTAAAGGTTACTGTAGTATAAGAAAGACAAAGTAGCAAGTCCTGAAGCTAATTTCATCATGCAAAAAGGACATAACATGGCCATTATACCAAAGATAGGAAAAAGCCTAATTTCACATTCTGACCAATTAAAACCCAAAATTGAAGAGGAAGACGTCATGATAGAAGAAGATATTGACAGAGAAGAAAGAATGAGTTCTTCAGATCAGGACAGTGCAATAGAAAACGAGCCTATAGATGACAGCGGGAGTGATTCAAATACATGAGATGAGACCAAGATCTCCATTAAAAAGAACAGCACATAAGGGAGAGTGAGGCGGGAAGAGGTTGTAGAAGAAGTCCTAGAACAACTAAAGGTATTAAACCTCTTCGGTTCAGAGAGGTGTAGTAGATAAGTAAATAAGAATGTACCTATTTGCATATGTAATGTGTAAGAGATATAAGTGATGGGTAAATTGTCACCATTTTATATTTTTAATTTTGAGTATGCGCGTTGTTTGTTTTTGATTTTGTCGACTACACAGTAGAGTAAGGTCAGTTAGACACCGTCTGTGAGAAAAAAAAAAGGACCACGATGCAATTCACTCCTCCAGAAATTTGGAAACGGCATACTTTACCGCTTGGCATTTGCGCCAGAATCTCCAATACGAACATTTCGAAGTGTTTCGTTGTTAATCTAAGGACGTTGCAGAGGATTCAGAAATATTTGGATGAGACTAATGGTGATTACAAAGGTATAGCACTTCGGAAAACTCACTGGCATCATCCTGGTAAGAAAGGAATTCCCAATTTTTCTGTCGAGGGCTTCAGACTTAACACAGAAGCCTACATCAAGTGCCTTGAGAAATTACTGCTGCTCTCGGTCAAGAGGGTGTCTGTTAGCAGGTCCTATGCCTGGCAACAGGACTCTGTAACATGACACATAAGAAGAAGCCAATCATGGCTGTCAGACAATTTCGGCGACATCACCTCTTACATCTGGCCATCTAACTCCATAGACTGCAACCCCTTGATTATTATGTGTTGGGCGTAGTTGATCGAGAGACCAACAAAATGCCTTATAACACCAAAGATAAACTGAAGGCAAGGATTGTGGCAGCATTCACCAACTTAAACAAGGAGATCGCCTAGAAGAGTTGCAGGAGATTTCGAAGTCGTCTGGAGGCCGCTGTTGAAGCCAAAGGCGATTTTATTGACTAAATGTACTCTTTAGCATTTCGAGATATTTTTCGTGTAATTTTAGTAAAATTTTGGTTAAAATGAGATGTCAGTGTTATTTTTCAATTCTGCGTCATTTAGACGACAATTTATCCATCGCAACATGTAGCGTAAACTAAGCGACAGGCAAGAAGTTGACTACTGATCACGTGTTCTAGAAAAACACAGTGGGACAATTACAAAAGTCAAGAAACATTGTACTTAATCATTGTTTATGTACAAGGTTACATTTTTTTAAAATATTTTTTTTTTCTCCAGAGAAAAATATTATGAACGTTTCCTGTTTCTAGAGCAAATGAAGTTTACACATATGATCTTCCTTAGTTAAAATTGCTAATGGTTTAAAATGATGGAAAATTTATGATCAATAAAAAGTTACCAAATTCAAGAAACATTGCTTATGTTTGTGTTTATGGAAGAGACTATGTGAGTGAACAAGTGGGAACAAAATGAAAGTAACAAAATTTTAAACGTTATTTTCTTTATAAAATTAAGTGTGCCATTCAGAAAATCCATCGGGGTCGCATATGGCCCTTAGGCTGATGTTTGACATGATTTCTTTTACTGATGTTAACCCAAGGCTTAAGAGTCACTCAATGTAGAGAATTATTTTGTAGAGTTGTATTAGCATAAGAAAGGACAAGCGTTATGTGTACAGACTTTAGAAGGTACCGGAAACCCAATCCTAAACAGGAAACTAGTGACAAACGAGGGTGTTTTGTTTTTGCTGGTGGGGGGGTCACTATTTTCCCATAGCTGGGACCCTAACAGGTGCTACCACTCTGGATTAGGGTGAACCTGGAAACAACAGCAATTAAGAGGTGGTTCCATGCTCTTTAAAACATCCTATCTCCCGATGAGAGGTTTTGCTGCCGGATATAATTTATCAGAAAGAATTATCTTCCTTTCTGATTCCAATGTCATCTATGGAAATTCTTACTTGACTTTTGGATATTTCTTTGTTCTGGGCTTGGTTTCGTTTGGTTTGGTTTGGTTTACGGCATATCAACACCTCAATGGGTCATTCAATGCTGACAACTTTTCTTTTTCTGGTAATGTTTGTTTTTTCGAAAATATATTTCTGTTAATATTTTTCCCTCAAAAACGTATAGCTGGTAATATTATTTTTTTCAAAAACGTATAGCTGGTAGTATTTTTTCAAAAACGTATTGCTGCTAATGTTTTTTTCTTTCAAAAATTTATTCCTGTTAATAATTTTTTACAAAGTATTTCTGGTATTAATACCTATTTTTACACTTTTATAATACCTTTTACCTCAGTTTCTGGGTTAACTATTTACCCATAGCTGGGACCCTAACAGGTACTACCACCCCAGGTCAGGGTGGACCTAGGAATGTCAGCAGTTAAGAGGAGGTTCCATGCTCCTAAAAGCCTCCTGATCAGAGGTCTTGCTGTTGGATCTAGATTATCGTCTTACCGTGGACGCTGGACTTTTGGATATTTCCCCCCATAATTTGAATCCCATTGGATAAGCAGACATGCTTCCTGTTTTCTTCAACACTGGTCAGTAAACCGCATTTGCCTTTTCACAGATTGTGTAGCTTGTCGGTTTGAAACAAAAGATTCAAAAAATGAAGAATTCTATTGAATGACCAACGCTAAGAATCAGCGCTGATCTGAATCTCTAAGTCTCGTACTATCAAATATATATATATATATATATATATATATATATATATATATAAAGTCTGATGATCCAGAACCCTGTTAAAGGGGTTATGGTGAAATAGCTTATTACATGGAATCTTAACGTGGTCTGTCTTTTATTCAAACATATCTGCTCTGAATTTTACATTGAGCTTTCTGGATATCATCCTCCTCAGGTCTACCCATACGGATTACCTAAATTTGCAGAAACTAACTATATATATATATATATATATATATATATATATATATATATATATATATATATATTGCCCGCGAACTTATTCATGTCCAACTGCTTGATCAGTTTCTGAGGACTGCTTCTACTTTTGACCTAAGTCAGCCATGTCCAAATCCCAGTCCGGGGGACCAATTACGACCCAGGGCCAATTACGGCCTGCGGTGTAATTTCATATGGCCCCATCCTGTCACAGAATGTATCATTTACGGGCCGTTAATATTGTCAATTTTTTTTTTTTTTTCGTATAAAGTAACCATTTTGCTTAAAGTTCGTATTTTCTTTATTTTAGATGAAAACCCGGGAATTGTTCAACACATTACAATGAAATTTTCACTTTTCAAAATTACAGTTTATATTTTAGATACGGAGGAAAAATAAGTCGTGACATTAAAACTTAAGCCAAGTGGGGGGGGGAGATATGTGTTAAACAAAATACGAACATGCTAAAAGGAATAGTAATTCTCTTTTCTTTCAATAGATCATGCATATCCAATTAGGGTCCGCAGTCAAATTTCATATGGCCCCCATCCTCTGTCATAGCATGTATCACTTACGGTCCGCCAGTATTGTCACCCAGAGTACACACCTAAGAAATGCAATTTAATGTTTTTACTAAAAGATGAGAGCAGCACTGTGTGGCCGCCCTCTGGTCGAGTGACACTGACCTTTGGCCTTTTCCAGCCATTTTCTAAAATCACTGCCTTTGAATCCGACCTGGCCTACATACTGCAATCCAGAGCTGTCCACACCCAGGATGATCCCAAAATGCAAATTTCAAGTCAGGAATACTAAAATCAAATCCGAAGACGTATTAATATGGCCAAGGATGCACTTCAAAAGCTAGGC